AATTCATAGTGATTAGTTGCAGACTTTGGGAGTTAGAGTTAGTCTGGTGAGATAATGTCTAGCAGGTATAAGCTAATTAAGTAACTGAGCAATTCCAGAACCATCCCGTGGAGTTTCTTGGGCTGAACCTGACAGTTAGGTTCAGTTCTTTTTCTTTATATTAAAGAAGATGATATTGACATCTGCTGGGGAAAGGGGGAGAAGGCAAGATGGCAGACTTGGCAGTGTCATCGAAGCCTCTCCTCCGTGGACATCAGTGGACGTGAAAAGTTGAGAGGAGGAAAAAAAGAACTGGAGAGAGACATGTCTCTGAGGTAAAATATTTCTTAGTCTTTGTTTTATATAAGGGGAGGTATTAAGATCATCTTCAACAGCACACAAAGTAAGTTCATACAGAAGGGGCTTTTCAACTGAAACTGCTCATAACAAGTCAGCTGAGATTCCTTTAGTGAAACAAAAATACCTTTATTCTGTGTCACATTGTACCCATTGGCTGGGGAAATCCATCAGTTTCCTAAACAATTATAACAGGAAAATCCATTTAAAGATAAATATTCTCCAGTATATATTACAAGGACATAAACAATTCAAGAGGAGTAACTTGTATGTAATTCTTTCATCTGCTGTCTAAGCCCAACAGTCCATGTTATTTTAATAAAATCTGTGTTACATAAGGCTCCAACAGAGTTAATTTGTTTCTTTTGTTGTTTTTGTTTAATATTGAATGGCAGAATAAACTAAAAAGCATATGACAATTGTTTGGGGAAACATCTTGTAACAGAATAGGAGAGTAGAGTGAAAGCTCTGTTCCCTAAACGCCACCTTCTTTATAGTCTAATTGAAGACTCAGGAGCAATTAATTACTAGGACTGGAATTGTTCTTTGGCCCAACCTATTTTTCAGGGGAGATTTTCTGTTTTTTTAGCTTTTATCTAGGCCTAAGCATACATAAACCTTAGCATGTTTCAGCACCTGGCAAATGTAGGTGGCTTCAAAAGCTAAGCAGGATCAGACCTAGGAGATCCTAGGGAATGTTGGGGGGCTTCCATAGCTATGGCCGATACTCAGAAGCTGAAAAGCTAAAAAAGCAGTGGGAAGACATTTCCATACTGCACAGACTTTCCAAAAAGGCATAGGAACTGAGTTCAAGTCAGAGACTTTACTTTTATGCATATTCAAGCCTTATACATATGACGCTTGCATAGATCTTATAGCTCAGTTTCATGCTTCTTTTGGTTAAGAATCCACACCCTGCATCTAAAGCTGGTATCTCATCTTCGTTCATTTAGAGTGTACCTTCTTTCTGTAATCACTGTATGTGTTGTGCCGGACTTTGCCATGGCAATTGCATAGGCTGCCTCTGAAAAATGCACAGAATAAAATCTACACCCTGAAAAATGCTCGTCGAGCCATTTGTGGATCATACAATTACGTTCTGCAGACTGTAAAATACAGTGGGTATAAGGCAAGAAGCATTAATCAGTATAATGATTTTATTTTAGAACAGATTAAAATTAATTTAACTTTAGCTTCCTTTAAGAAACAACATACTGTACAAATAACATTGTCACTGATAATCCCTTTTTGAAGGGCTGCTAAATCTGTTGGCTTAATTGAGGCAAGTTATTCTTTTAAGTACATATCTGCAAATATTTTCTTAATTAGCTGAGTAATTATTTAGAAAACATAGTTAATTCGTAAGACTTGTTAATACCAGCCCTATTAAATAATTGGCTGTCTATTCCAATTGTAATATCTACCTTAGGTTAGCACACTCCAGAAACAGAATGTTAAATCCCACTTGCCAGAATGCCACCCAGCAGCTTCCTGTGAATGTTTACTCAAATATAAAATCTGTATCTTCTTGCTCTGTGTGTTTGTAGAATTGCACACTTAATTTTGCAGTGGTTTCCAGAATATGGCAGTGGTTGTCTATACACTTAAAACATATCCTTAGGTTCATTCCTTTGTTTTGCTTCATTAGGAAAAGAAGTCACCTAATATTTTCTTCCAAAGATGTTTGTTGAATCTGGACTGATGCCATATCTGCCGTTAATAGCAATTTTATCTGATACAGTGTTAACTCAGTGTATTGGGTATAGGTCCATGCTATACTGTAAAGGTCTCATTTGTCTAATTTTCCTATGTGTTTACATCAAAACTGTCAACAAAAGGCCCAGCTTTTATTGAAATAAGCCCTCTTGCTTTTTAAAGAGATCACTTGCATTTATACAACACACTAAAACCCAAAGTAACCAACTACTTTGTGCTAATAACCAGACTTAGGGAATCTCAGAACTGACAGGAGCAATGAAAAAAAAATCAGTCTTTCTTGTGATTCCTTCCTTCCTTGTACATATAGAGATCATTTTAGATGATGCTCGCAGGGCCCCCCTGAGTATAGAAAGGCCCAATTATTATTGTTAGAAGTAGAAACTGCATTTTAGTATTTTAAGATCCTCTGAGTCTGCCAAACGCGCCTCTTACATTGCAAGGACACAGGATTTTTTAAAAAACTCTTCATTTCCTTGAGAGGATATCAGCTGTTTTGAATTCAGGGTTGCTCCCCTTCATACTGAATGTGGGAGAAGTGTCATGTTTTTAAGCCTACCAAGCCTTGGAGAATTTGAGAAGATTATTTTATTTTCTTTTATTATTTGATTTGAATATTGTCCGTTGTGAACAAATACAGTTGTTGTCCTTCCCTGCTTGGTATGTTATCTCATAAAACTGTTTTATTTGGATCTCTGCTCTGGTATGTGAAGTTGGTGCCCAGAAATGTCCTCACAGGCATGGCCTACTTGCTACTAGAGTGGAATACAGAGGCCGGGAAGACTGATTGCCGTTGCTCTAAGCTTTTATGCAATGTCCCTAAAAGATTCCCCTTTAAGGAAGGTTGGTAGTAAACTCTCTGAATTTAAGGGAGCCTGGGGATTAGATGCTTAGCCTTCACCGAAGGCTTAGATAAATGCCTTGACCAGCATCTCTTTTGCTGTCAAAGCCTGTTAACAATGAAAATAAATTCCCAGTTTCTAAGTCCGTGTGAAGCAGTAGCCATTGAGGATGTCCTATATTGCCTGCGGGCCCACAAGCCCCTCCTCAAATCAGCTATTAGCCACCACAGCATGTTTTAAATGTATGGTAACTAGTTTTCTAAGAGATCAAAACAATATTTGTTTTGCAGAGAAGCTGGACATGGAACTTGCTGCAGAGACACTTTTTGTGAAGGATAGCAAAGGTCGAATAGACTCTCTAACGACAGTTCTTGGGCAAGAAGTAGATCGTTTTAATGGCCTTCTCAGTCTGCTAAGGGTATCATAACATACTTTTTTTACTGAATGGAATAAATTCTGATGTTACAAATTTGCTGGGTTTGTATTAAGCCTACCAGAGGCTAAGAACCAGGGATGAAAATCAAAATGTTTTTCTGATGTATTCTGTCATTCTTCCAATGCTACCAAAAAAGGAAATGGAGTGGGCAAGCAGAGATACTCTCTATTTAACGTGTAAGGCTGAGCGTTGCTTAATTAATATCTGTGATGTCATTGCGACTTAGCAAACCTAGTTTGGGTTTTTAGTGTGTGCTGTTCCTTTCAGTATATATGGCATTATAATTAATAAAAACAGGCTTAAAAATAAGATAATCAAAACTTATTGTAACAAAACAAATGAATGTGCCATTCTTTAGCAGGTACATGAGTAGAGCAGTGCCTTTTGCTTACCTTTCTCTTTCCTCCATTCTCTCCTTTCTCTCTCTCTCTCTCTCTCTCTCTCTCTCTCTCTCCCCTACAGCTGGAACTTAAAGAATGAGTTTGCCAGAACAGGCAGCTCCCTTTGTATATAACTGTGAAAGCACACCCAACTCTTTAAGCATGATGCTTCACTCACAACAAACAATAGTGGGATACCACATGGCGGAGTTAATCAACTAACTCCTACTTTGAGAGTGCTGCAGTATTGGCAACCCTCAGAAGCGACTTTTTCCTGACAAGCAGTGATATTCTGTTTATCTTTACCCAGGGATAATGCTGAGTTGCATAGAGCTTGCTCACAAATAAGTATGAATAAGATTTTATTCTGGCAAACTTTTAAACCACTGTAATGATGCAATGCTCAAGGAATAGTAATTTTTTACTAACGCATCAATAAATAATATTTGACTAACCTCCCGAAAGGAGGTGAGTGATCTTAATTATTTATAGCTTCCTAATGTTTTCACATGTCATAAAATACCCAAAGAGATCATCGTTTCTGCTAGAGAGTTCGTCATAGAAGGACTTATAGAGAGTGTCCATGGTCTTACTCTGCAGAAGAAGCAGGAGATACCATATATTAAACTGAGAGCTTTCCCCTCATATTAGCTAATTAAATGCCATTAAGCTGGATTCAGTTCCTGGTGACTAGGAATGTGGACAAATGCCTTAATTTCATTCAGGCCACTTCTTACAACACTGCTTCTGTTACAAAGCTTAATTCTTTTTTCAGCTCCAGAAAATTATAGTATGTTGAATTCCGTTTCAAATTGAGCTTCTTCTAGCCTTCTATTCACTTGATTTTCTTTTCCTTAGTTTCTGACTCCCTACTTTTATTGATTTTTTTCCCCCTCCCAATAGTTCCTTTTCATCTCCAAATTGGAGATCCAATCCTTTCTGCTTGGCTTCTTCCCAATATTATATTTGGGCCTGGAGCCAAGTATATATCTGGCTGCAGCATGAAATAATTTCTGGCTGATAAACATTGCTGTGAGGACTGCATTGGGGAAATGTTGCTTTCATAGAATGCAATAATATATGAGTGTTCTCTGCACTCATAATGACTACAATATAAGCATTACTTTTTATTTTTCTTATTAATTTTATCACTCATTAATGTCATTGCAAAGAATGCATTAACCTTGTAGGAAGAGAGTAACAAATCAGGAAAACAGTTCCAGGAGTATTTCACTATTTCACAGGGATGTTCTTTTACTGACAGAGAATTTTCATCCTTATTTCTTAGAATATTGGCCACACCACGTTTGTTTTCCTGGCTTCCTTTAATTGAAGAAGTTTAAGACAAGAAACTTGCCTTTTTGTCTTTTCAAACAAATATGGTGCATAGTTTCCATTTGTTTGTGAATCTAATATAAAAACTGTTGGGAAAACCTTTAATAAACATAGATAATGTAAAGTAGACGATCAAAGTAGAAAAATCAAGGTCTAAAGAAGACTTTGGCTGATGTCAGTAGAGTTAATTTGCAAACATCAATTCAGGTTAAGATTGTAAGAAGGATGGCTTTCAATTCATCATGGTTTAGTGCTTCATGCTTGTATTCTCATCCATTGCCTTGCCTTGTTCTATATTAATTTAGCATAGAAAATGGTTTTTTAAATTTTAACTGTACACAACCCTGAGGATTTTTCCTGAAAAACCAGTAAAAAATTCTCTGACTATATTTTGGTTTTAATCTTGTCTTGATGCTCCTTATTTATACTCTGCTATTTTCCTGTATTTTTACTAAAAGATTATAAACTACTGGAAAAAGTTCGTTTTAAACTGAGAAGTAGGATGAATATTCATACGCACAATTTAATAGCTGCTTTATCTACAGAGCCACATCAGTTCAAGGATTTCGGGCTCTGGTTCTTCCATTTGCCTTCCTCCCCATTTGCTGTATAATGACATTTAAATTACTCTCAGAGGAAGAGGAGAAAGAAAAGGGAGACAGGGCATAAACATTTGGAAGGTAGAACACCTGCATAATCTCTACAGCAATATTAATGCTAAACTCCTCTCTTAAATTGCAATTAGGCAAGTGTAATCATAAGAATGTGCTGGAAGATGCAGAGGCAACTTGCATGTGTTATATAGACAACTTCAGAAAATGTTGCTGCAGCACTCATGATTTTATCTATGTTCTTCCCTTCTACCACCTCAGTTTTGTAGGGTCAATAGATCATTAAGCCAAAAAGAGAGAAAGAGAACTGGCAATACATCTGCACTGAGGTGATAAAATTGCTGTTATATTCTTTTGTTCTCCACAGAAGATTAAAGCACAATATTGTTGTTCAACTTTCAGATCTCCCTACAAACACTTAACAAAGCCATTGCAGGATTTGTAGTAATGTCTGAAGAAATGGAGAGAGTGTATCACAGCTTTCTTAACAATCAGGTTCCAGCCCTCTGGGCCAACGCAGCATATCCGTCACTGAAACCTTTGGGGACGTGGGTGAAAGACCTTGTGCTCAGGACTAACTTTGTAGATGTAAGTAGAAATGCTACTCGTGGATGTACTGTGTAAGTGGTGTTCTAGAATTTAGGTGATGTTTCAGCTGCGAGGGATTTTAGGAAAGTTAAGAAAGGATGTAGCCCAAGTTCATCCTTCAGCTTCCCCTTCCTCCCCCTCCCAAAAAAAGTTGGGAGTACCAATGACATATTTATTAAGGCTGTAAGTATTTTTATCGTGGTACGGAAGATAAAATTTGGGGTAAGTTCGTTTAAGCACAGACCAGTGAGCACCTCTGATATTTGTATACAACCAGAATGTATCTGCGTATCAGGCTGCAGTTTGCAACTCAGAAATGTGCACAGAAAAACATACATGAGAGAATATGCACATTAAGTGTGTATGTCAGGAGGAAACATACAAAGCCAGGAAGAGAAAGAATTGTTTCAGGGAGCAGTAAAACTTCAGGCAGCTGAGACTGTTCAGATTGTTAAGAATGAAGGTCACAGGCAAGATTATTAGGAAAGACTGAAAGTGGGGGAAAGGAACACTTTAAAGGGGGGGGATTAAAAACTATGCCAAATGCTTGCCTTTTCCATTTATTGCAAGTTGGCTTCTGTCTTGCTTAAATTAATATGCCAAATATGACGCGCAGCAAATAAACTAATGAGGAAATGCTTGGCAGAGTGAAGGTAATATTCCCCATTCTTGGCATGGAGAATAATGGAGAAGGGAGAGTAATGGCATTATTGCTGTCCCTAAATGGTTTAGCTGATTACTTGCAGAATGGATACAGTTTTGTCATCAAAAATTAACACTGGGATTTTATGTACCTTCACAATTCCAAAAGACATCTTTCTCGCTATTGTTTGATAATGCATTGCCATCAGATGTTGAACTTACCACTTCCCTAAGATAGTTATGCCATATGATTATAATTATTGAAATATTATGCTGCAGTGTGCTGGATATACGAACTGAGTGCGTCGGCATTTATGCAAATACCCTAATCCAGAGACTGTGAACTGTGCATCGAAACCATCCTTTTCTCTTCTCTGACAAACAGGCTACAAAGCACTAGTTGTTGCTTTGACTGAGATCCAGTCTTAAACCAGTCATATAATCAGGAAGACTGGGAGTAAAGGAAGGAGGTGGCATATTTCAAGCCCCATGCCATCCTCCCACCTAGGCATCCCAAATGGTTATGGACAAGAACTGATGCTGTGGCTGAGAGGGGCTCCTCACCTTCTCCAGCTTCTGATCTGCCTGAGAGGAGCTGTCTGTGAGAACTGCAAGTATTGTCATAACTGAGCAGCCTTCTGCTGCATTGAAGATTTCCTGGACTAGGACCAAAAGTATTGAAGCCATATCCATTTAGATGGAGAAGTAAAACCTTGGCAAACCCAGTTCAGTTGTCCCTTTCTGCAAATAAAATAAGAGCAATCTTTTGTTTAATAAGTTAAATGGAATGTCAGATTTTATACCTAACATATATCACCTTTTTTCCCCCCCAGTTCTGGCTCAAAAGAGGTCAACCTAAATCATTTTGGATCTCTGGTTTCTTCTTTCCGCAAGGATTTTTGACAGGTAAATATTCATAATTTTCTCTGCTTCTGATGTCAACAGCGTATGTTCTAAATGGTCACATACCCACAAAAGGGTTGGAAACAAATTGCTCAGCTGAATGTCCCAGTTTTGGTTTCAGATGCTCAGAGTAGCCTGCCAAGCCCCTTTATTGTTAGCTGACTGATTGGGAGCAGATTCACACAGCCTTGTTTCCACTTCCCAATCCCTTCAAACCATTTTGAAATTGGCTGCAGAATTCCCTTCGCTGCTGCTGGCTTCTAAAAACCAAGCGCAGCACGGGTATAACGGGCACCAGTCAACGCTCTCCTGCCAGCTGATCTGTAAAAAAAAGTCAGTGCTCTGCCTGCAGGACCTGAAGCCACAAAAATCCCCTTGCGCTCTAATCTGTGCAAAAAGGAAGTAAAATAAATTGCTGAATGTGGTGCATATTTCTTAGACCATTTGCAAAAAAGAAAAAAAAAGCTGTTAGCCCAAGGAGGAAGCTGTAAAGCCACCAAATCAGTATCCTGAAAGCATGTTGCTCGTTGTGCTGATGAGAGGATAGCATGCCAACAGTTTTGGAGCTGACACTTTTCCTGTATCCCTCTGGTTGCACATTGCTGCTGTAACTAGAGTGGAGAAGGGGAGAGAGATGTGAACAATGTACTGAACGTGAGGCTGAAGTCAAGGGTCCCATAGCTCAGTTCATCTCAAAAGAGTACGCAGAGGACAAACCATTCGAAGCAGCATTTTGATCAAATGCTGTTATAGCCTTTCCTTCTTCTCAATTTTAAAAATAAATTCATAGTCAGAAACCAGTTTACTGAACATACAAATACACAGTGCTCCTTATACTAATCTTACAGGTCAAATCCAACTAACCTTGTTTCTGTGGTGCGAAGATCTGAGGGCAAAATACCCTACAAAACCATATATGCTTATAATGTATTGCCTGCTCTAACATATTAGAAGTATAGAATAAGTGAAAAACACAGTGGGTGGTTTGGAGAATCTAAGCGTTAAATGCACACTCTGCAATACAGTGGGAATCATGCACTGCCTGGCTTTCAGAAGGGAGGTCCTTAAGCCCTACCATAATTTAATAGGAAGTTTTTTCTTTTATGTTATTATTTTGAACTAACAAAAATAATAAAAATATTAAATAAAATGTTAATATGGTAATCCCAAGTAAACCAATACATCAGAGCCATAATAATTGTTCAAAATGATAAGGTTTTCTATTTTCTTTGTTTAAAAAAGATGCCTTGGCACAATGGTGTAGTATAATAAGGCAGTGGTGTATGAAAAGTTTTTACAATATAGAACATTAAATTATGAATTAGACTATGTTGAGAGAGTTTGTAAATATAGTAAATATTTCTGGGTTTGTGTGAGTGTAAATTGAATTCCAGTTACTGTACGTTGCTAATGTTCTTTAATGACTGGTTATTTGTTTTTAAAAAGAGAATTGCATCCATTTTTTATTTCTCAGGAACTCTTCAGAATCATGCTCGAAAATATAACTTACCAATTGATGAGCTTAGTTTTAGTTATAACATCATTCCTGCCTACAGAGATCAAATGCAAGTGGCAGAAGCTTCAAAACTGTGCCACTTTGGAAACCAGTTACCAATGGACGAACAGGTATTTACAAGCCTACAATTGCGATGACAATCCAGCCGCAAAGAAAGACAACCTTGAATCCACAGGAATATCTTTATATAAAGCCATCATGTTTATCTTGTATTGTGGTTACTTTTTTAATGTTTTGCTGAACAGTATTTTACTAAAAATATGTATCTGAGTAAGGTGGGAATTTGTTAGTGGTAATGAATGATTAGCTCAGCTTTGATAAACCTGTGGGCTTTTTCTCCCACCTCTTGATTATTTCTTTCAGTTGCCTTCTCCTGAGGATGGGGTGCTGGTCCATGGTATGTTTATGGATGCCAGTCGTTGGGATGATGATGAAATGGTTATAGAAGATGCATTACCTCGACAAATGAACCCAATGCTTCCAATAATTCATTTTGAGCCGCATCAAAATTATGACCCCCACCCTTCATTGTATCATGCGCCCCTTTACAAAACTGGAGCTAGAGCAGGAACTCTGTCCACCACAGGTAATTATTTTTTCTGTAAAATTCACAATAGATAGATATTTAATATTTTATGCCTAACTTGATAAATATGCATGAATGACAGCCTAGCGAATGACTTTTACTCAACCACCACAAAGCAGTCATCTTCCAGGAGATGCTTTGAAGCTAGGACAGCTGTAGCAGAGAATTCTCCATCTAACTGAAGGGTGCAAGAGAGTTCAGGGAATCTGGTCCAGGTTGAAGAACAGCTTGATAAAAGCCCAGAGGCCTAGGTAACTCGAGAGTAAAGTCCTGTCTGTCAGTCTGGTGACATTAAGTTAAAAAAATGCAGGGAAAACTGTCTAACTTACCAAAGTACTACTCTTAAGATTTGCCACACCGATAGGGTTTACAATGGTTTCAAAATCATGTAGCTTGGAATGGATCCTGCTACTGAACCAGATCCTGAGAGTAGATAAATCCTTCCTAAAAAGCAGGTATATTTTCTTTCTTCTCTGGAGGCTGATAAGAAAATTGCAAAGAGTCAAGTTCTTTTAGGTTATCAGATGACTTTCCTTTTTCTTAGGAAGGATGTATGCTTTGATACAAGAGCTCTTCCCCTTCCGCCTGTTTATTGGTGAATGTGGCGGGTGGGGATAATACCACGAGTCAATGAATATGGGCTGATGTTCCAGCTTCCTGACACAATATCATAGATACTACCCTAGAATTATGAATGAGAAGGTGTATAAACTCCAAGTAACTTGAATATGGAGAAAGTGAATAGTTGGGGGCATTCCACTCCATTGAAGTCAGGCAGTATATAAGGACTTGACATCTGTTGCCAAGTTCCGTTTCAGATCTGCTCAGAAGAAACAAGCAGCACAGCTGCTGAACCATCACAGATTGTTTGACTGATTGTTTTGCTGATTTCCATATGCTCACTTCCTTTATTACACTACTGGTAGTATAAACAGAGAAACCATTCATGGGTATAGTATGCCATGTGATCTAAAATCCTTCTTAGATGAAAGTATTAGATAACCTGAAGACACAACGCATGGGCTATTTATGCCCAGCTCACATTCTCCTGACTGTGTTGTTCCATCACTGGCTGAATTTCCTATCAGTTGTGAGGAGAAAAGAAATAGAACATTTTAGAATTTCAAGTAATGATGAGTAAATTCTCTAAATGGTCCAATATTTTTAAACTTTAGTTAAAACTCTGTCTTCTAACTCATAATGTTCCCAGTAGTATCGCTCAATATGTTCATTTTCACCTTGTCCCACAATAATTTATTCTCACATCTGATCCAAACTGGGACCTTTATGCAACACTAGGGACAAATTTTAGTGCAGCTGGTCACCATCCATGAATACATAAGCAGGTGCTTAGAAATAGCTTCATTCCAACTATGCAGTTGTTTTAAAACAATTTGGTAAATTTTTGCATGTTCTCTTTGTATGGTTTGCAATAAACATATCCATTGTCTCCTATTATTCCCAATAGAAAAGAATCTGAAGAAAATGGTTTGATCTCATGGTCTTCAATTATCTATAGTAGAGCAGGGCAACTCAGAGCCCTTGTTTTGCAGCCCCCAGATTAGAATTTGTGTTAATTTTTTTTGAACCAAAGGATCAGAGGAAATGTTCATTTTTTAATTATGATTTTATCAAGTGCTTATTATTTCCTAGAATGGTGGAAGCATGATTTTCAAGCCATATTGTTTAGTGTGCTTGTGTGTCATGATACTTATGTACTGTATATGGCAAGCTCTTTCTTGCACTTCACCATAATCAATGCAAGTATCTGAGGAATAATGACAATTGAACCCAAAGAATGCATGTCGATCTCTGATTTATGGCGCTTGCATTTTGAAGCCACATAAGTACATTAAGGTATGCTTTGCCAAGTGGGAAGGCAGTTCTGCAAATGTAGAGACCTTTTCCCCTTCCTGAAAAGCTAGCCTATTCCACACCCCCACACGAGACAATCCAATTAATCAGAATCCTAGTCCTCAGATGGGTGGCATGCAGGCCCCAAAGCTTTCTATGCAGTATGCCTGGATGATTTTCTCTACCCTTAGTTCCTGTTGTCACCCCCACATGCCCTGCCATCAGCAGATCAACAGGGGACTCAGGCAAGTGTAGTACTATGTTGAGGAAGAAAGTATAATGAGGCCCCTCTTTATAGTTCTGTTCCTCTGGTAAGATGAAAAGGAAGTTTTCTGTTCATGTCTGTGCACATTTGCGAACATGCACGCCAACTGGTTGGTATCATCAGTGTACCAATGCCCAAAAGGTTGCCCATCTATCTCAACCATATATAATGAGTAAGTTTTCTTTCTAGATCTTATTCTCATTTGTGTGTGAGAGGAGAACGTCAGCTTAGAAACATGTGGAGTTTGAAACAGTAACAACTTTCTCCTCTTTTTTTAATTAGGTCATTCTACCAATTTTGTGGTTACAGTCTTAGTTCCTTCAAACAAGCCAAGCGACTACTGGATATCGAAAGGGTCTGCATTACTGTGCCAACTAAATGAGTAATCGGGAGGATAAGGTTTCTGTCCACTAGCAAGACATCAACATCATCCTGAGGCTGTATTCCAGGTGCAGAACAGTAACATTCCATCATTGTCATGCCCACGGAAAGAGTTTCCTGTATAAACACACTGACAGGAGGCCATTCTTCCCTTCTGCTTCATTTTTTTAAGTGCATTAAATTTTATCAACAAGTTGGAATCAATATTCATTTTTCACTTCTCTCCATTCCTCAGCATGTATTCACTGGCAGATCATATGGTTTTTTGCATCAGTAATACAGCTGTTTAAAAAAATTCTACAAAACGTACATGCTTTGTATCAAATTAATTTACTGTGAATCTTGTCTTTTTAGTCTTCGTATTTCATTTTCTCTGTAAATGCAATTTGATTGTAACAGAAAATTCTTAAGAAAATAAATGATGGTCTTGGCTGATTCTGTTTTATCTGTAAAATGTCATAAATGCTTTCTCCCTTTCTCTCAAACCTTCCACGTGAAGTAATTATTGGGGCAAGGTATCATCACAACAATTTGGCAGCTTGCAAACAGTTGGAAAAATGTATATTGTACACTTCCAAGAGTTGATGGGTACAAATTGTGATCTTAGGTGAGTTTAACTTATGATGTGATTATTTGCATTTGGCTGTTTATTTTAATCCTGATGACTTACTGGGAAAATTCTTTTATTCATTAACCATGGCGTCTAATGGAAAAAAACTAGATTAACATCTTCCTGGGATCTTACAGACTTCTTGGATTCTTGGATCTTTTTATTTTATAGAAAAAAACTTTCTAATTTTTGCTATCAAAGGTAAAAACTACAGTACCCAGGTCTTAATGTGCAGTTAGATGCATGATACCGATGGGAATGTGTATTCTGTTCAAAGCAATATAGTGGCAGAAAAACTGAATCTTGCTTTGATGTGCATTCATCTGACTATGCCTCCAATTTTTATCAATAGTTGTCAGTAATAAGTGATACATGTGCTGCTTTTCATGCACATTTGGGGTTGTGGTATATATTAATTCTATGAAAATTAGAATCAATAAGGTTGATGGACATTGGAGACGTTCAGAAATAAATTCAAAGGCAAAGATAATAAGTGTGCAGCCACAGCACTCAAGTTAGGGAAAGGATGTAATTTATGTAATAGAAAAACAGAATATTCAACAATGAAAACATTTCTAACTTATTAAAAAAAGAGTATTGCACTGATTTCACATTGTTATCAAATGGAGAATGTTTCAGATTATCACAGTGATAATAAAAGCTAAAACTTGCCATTTATTTGGCAAACAGCAACTAACTGCATCATTCAATACATTACTGTAGATGAAATCTGTGTTAAACAAAGATGCCAAACAAAAACATTGAAAATGATACATTTAGCAAAGATCATGTTTCTAGGAAGAATTTACCAATGCAGCAACATGTTCATTAGTGTTTCCTAGTAGCATATATATGGTCTATTCACTCAGGAAAGCGTATGCTGTGTATCTGATTTCTTGTCTAATATTATCAGTGATTATGATCACAAGTATAGGGAGAAGACACTATTTAGAAACGAACAACAGAGACAAATACTGAATTCTGTATCTATAATAACTAACACTGGGGAGACAATTGGAATTTGAAACTCATGCCAACTTCTTTTTTATACTGAATTCAGCACAGAAAGTCTGCTTTCCCATTTTACATCTCATTGTTCTTCGAAATCAATGGCATCATTTCATAAGTTCCAATTACACTGGAGCATTTTTCTGTTCATTTCAGAAATCCTTATGTAAAATCTTTTGTAACAGCTTCAATAAAATTTGGAGCAGACATTAGAATTGTGAGCGTGCAGATGATGGCAAAAAGTGAAAATGCCACAAGGCATAATCTGTCTATGACAGCAGCTGCAAACTTCCATTCACTGCAGACCTCTTCCCCTTCATCCTGTTTTCTGAAACGGGCTGCAATGAACTGAACTTCTTCCAGGATTTTCACAATCACTGGGATAGTATCCATTAAAACTTTTCTCTGAGTACTATCGTTATCTCCAGGTGAAGAGCTCTGGCCCTTTCCGCCCTTGGTGTCTATCTCATTATTCTGCGGACAACAGGGATTTTCCATGGCGTGGTAGCTGTAGATCATGTTGCCATTGCTAGATTGGTGTCCTGGTAAGATGTTCATTTCTACACTGCTGACACTGGACTGGTGCCTCGAGTGGCCATACCTGCAAGAGAGAGGCCTTATGTTCTCCCCTGGTTTTTTCATTCGGAGAAACCAAGCACACCAGTTCAGCAAGATGACACGGACCTGAAAAACAGAGAAACTCTCAGTGCCCTTCATGGGGGTTTTGAATGATTGCACAAAGAGAGCAGGGAAAATGTGGTTCACAAAGGATATTGCCATTTTGTAAATTGCTATATGAAGCATAACAGCTCATTACAAAGATCTTGGACAAAATCATTTTTCAATTATCTGCTTCCTCTAGGCCTTTCCACTTAAGCTGCTCATCTGAAAAATAAACGCTTCTCAGGTATTGTCACAAAATCTTTTTTTTATAGTTGCAGGAGAAACAGTTTCTTTTTTAAGGATACCTGTAATCCTTCATAATAAGGATTACAGGTAGCTTTTTGAAAGAATTTGATTGCTCCCAAGAAATTAACATTTGCCAAGAATCTAATCACTGGAAAGTTGCATTTATTGTAGTCAAAGAAGTGTAATTTGATTTAAAGCAATTACTAGGCCTGCTGAATATAATGAACGGGAAAAGGCCAACTGGTATTTTGACACAACCAATCTAAACTTTTTCATTTATTTCTCTATCATTTCCTATTTTACTTTAATTCTTGGACAGAAAAATCCATAAGAACTTTGAGCCAATTTCAAACCTGGAAAGGATATCTGTCTTGCATTTGTTTAGTGCAAAATACTCAGCAAAGTATCTGATTCAAATTTTGTCCTAGCTGTGAATTTACTTGGGGAGCTACTGAGAATACTCTAAACAAATCTTGAACTTTATGAAAATATCTGCAAATTGGAAATGAATTCTACAATTAAAGAACATATCTAGGAGCTATTATTCAGATTCCTGCAACAAGAGGATCTCCTAGAGCATTCTGTAGTAGAAATGTAAAGGAATAACACTAGCACTTCTGCCTGCAGTGTTTTATTACACCATAATGTTTAGCTCCCAAGATACCAATGGAGCCTTTTTAATAAGCACAAAGAAGAAATAACAATATGCTCCTGATGATGAATTTTTAATGTTTAAAAATTACATATTCAAGTGTTTACACATGGATGGAAATTTATAGTCGGGGAGGGGCAAATGTGCAATGCCATACATGGTCATGCATTATTCTAAAAGTATCTATGCAATCAGCTTGTATACATGAGAAAACAGGAAAAAAATCAGAAACTTCAAAAGAAGATGCTATTGATGACCATGAAATCCCAAGGCTAGGGGAAAGCATTTCTTTCCACTGCTTGAAGTTGACCATGGCTGATTCTAAGCAGAGTCAGGTCTGATTATTACTCAAATGAAGCTCATCAGGATATCTCAGAGCTGTAGACTAGAAAAGTCAAGAAACCATTCCAGAAGAAGGCAGTGGACAAGTTGTTGCTCAGAAACCTACACAAACATGTTCATGTTGTGGTAAGGAGTCGAGCTTAATTCAGAGGTGCACGCCTGTAGCAGAATAGAAGCAACAACTTGTACTTAGGGGGCCAGTTTTAAAGAAAAGTAAGGACTTAGAAAAGTTTACTTTAGTTCAACTAAGAATTATGCTGGTAAATCTGATGTTTTACTAATTACAAAATGGGATTTTGTTGGGAAGAATTATTTCAGCACTGATCTTTTGATAAAGATGCTTCTGCAAATTAAAAATATTTTTCAAGGTGGAAAATAACTGCACAACAGTTATAAACTACTAAAATTATAAACTTATAAACAGAGAATTGAAACTGAGTTGTTTGCCTGGTCTATATTAGAGAATAATTATGAGTAGAAGAAAATTCACTGAGAAGATGGACAGAACATTGAAGTTGCAGGAAGACAATTTCCCCCTCTTTATAGATAGAACTGTCTCAATCATTTACTTTTCTTACCCAGCAAAGTATTTGAAATGTTTGTGGAACAAAAACATTAATAGCCTGCAAGAGGCTAAGAGGAACAACAGGGCCAATGTGATGAGAATCTAAAAGCAAAACTTGCTTCAGTTTGAAGGAGAGAAATGATATCTCAGCATTTGGGGGAGGCCATTGTTTGTATAGCGAAGGATATGGGTGGTTATTGGCCCTGCTCTCCCAGGCCAACAGAGTGGTCAAAACTGAATTATCCATGTTAGTGTACTATTTCAAAGGATCTTCTTCAAGGTTTTTAGCTCATGTCACAATTCCATAAACATATAAGCATCTATTTCTATTCTATTGAAACTGAAACATGCAGTGTTAGATATATGGATGAAGTATTAAATTTAATAATAAAAGAAATAGGGAAATTACTTTCCAGAAGTTCATTCAAAAACATGGTACTTGTTTCTTCCTGCATTAGAACAAGCTTCCATAATTTGTGACCTACTATACCAAATCCAGTCCAGCAATGCCATATTACGCACTGCGTTTGTACTGTCTCAGCAAATTTGCCAAAAACAAAAACATGCTTAGATTTGAGCCCCATCCCCATTACAACTGACACTGTACAATAAATTTACTTTAAGATGTGATGGTAATTTTATAAAAAAAAAACCTTGTGGGCAATACATGATATTTATACTTTAGATCAGTATTTAAAATGTGCAGTGTTCCAGGAAGAATCTATCTAAATGTGCTGAATTGCAACATGCTGAATTAAAATCTCTTCACTATACCACATAGACTAGCTGCAATAGCAACATCTGAAATCACTAAATTATTATCATCACTGATAAAAATTTGGGGTGACTCCTGAAAAGTTTGATTTTTGTAGACAAGTGAATATTATGAAGATAGATATGGGTAATACGCAAAGAAAAG